CCTTAAAGTTTAATGTGAAATGAAGTTATAATAACCTTCAACTGTTGGAAAACTACAGATTCTTCCACAAAACAACGACTAATAAATAAAAATCAGCCGAAACCGATTTGGCTCAATGGATAGAGCGTCGGCTTGGGAACTGAAGGGACCTGGGTTCGATTCCGGTCAAGGGCATGTACCTTGGTTGCGGGCATATCTTCAGTAGGGGGTGTGCAAGAGGCAGCTGATCGATGATTATCTCTCATGACTCTCTCTCATCGATGTTTCTAACTCTCTATCTCTCTCCCTTCCTCTCTGTACAAAATCAATAAAATATATTTAAAAATAAATAAATAAAAATCAACCATTTTTTCATGATTTTAATAGCACCATAAAGCAAATATCAAAAATTCCTCACACATTTAGAAAGGTAACAACTTAGGTAACATTATTATATAGCAAAATGACTTGGAAAAATATTTTCATGGGTTTATTCTAACTTTGGTTAAATTATAATTCTCATTCTTATTGTTTTTACTCTGTATTTTAAATGTACTGACAAAAAAACTATTTCATACTCAACAATTACCATGAGAGAAATATTTATAGGGACTATCTTTAATCTTTAATAAAATGTTTCCACTAACACTTACTTACTTTCTTTTTTAATTTTATAATTCAAATGTAAGGAAGCTTAATCCTATATATTTTTATTATAAAACTAATTTAGAAATTAACAAATAGATATGTTTTATTATATCATTATATACTGTGTTTATAGACATAATACTGTACATCTCCAGTGTATGCCTCAATAACTAATGAATAATTCAGGATGTATTAAATAAGTTGAAATTTGTTGCATAATTAGTGGATTTTTGATTTCAAATTTGTTGCATAATTAGTTGCATAATAGAAACCTAAAATTAGATTAAATAGTAGGTTTCCAAAAATAGATATGGTTAAATTATGTTATTGAATACCAATAGTTTCTTTTATGCAATGTAAACATATTTACCAATAGGAAGAAATGCCATATTAAATAATTTCAATTGGCACCACTCACATCACAGTCTATTAAATATAAATTCTTGTAGTTGTATACTATACAATATATGCAACCTAAGATTGTGTCCATACACATGGTCTTTGTATTCTTGTTCTTATTGATAAAAACTGCCATGTTTTAAAGCTTAAATTTATATTTAAATTTTCCACTGAGTGTGCACATTAAATTAGTTTCTGAGGTAAATAAATGTGAGATTCACAACCCCCACCCCCAGGCAACAAAAAATAGAAGTAGAGACGAAAAGTTAATACCTAAAAGCTGAAACATTAATCCAAAAGAGCCAATATTTGATTAAGACATTTTAAAACAAAACAAAGAGGAAAATTACAAAAAAATATTTGCCAAAATCATTTTACTATTAACAGGCATTAATATCCAGGTTTCAAAGTTAAATGTTTTTTTCATGCAAATAGTAGAAAAGAACAGTTTAAAGGTCAGATACAACCCTGCTGCATTAAAAATATATATATACATGGGGCTGAGGAGAGATAGGAGAGCATCATGAAAATCTAGAACACAGAAATAACTAGATTCTCCTAACGGAGGTATTGGTAGGAAATTCCATACATGCAATACTTTTTGTCCTTATTAGTGTGGAGCCCTCCGTCTAAATCTACATAAAGGATAACAAGTTTGCAGTTTTGGAGTATTCAAGTGGGGAAGATTCTTCATTTCAAGAGGACTGCAGATGCCACTAATTGCTCCTCTGTCAGCCGGAGTGCCCTAACTGTTCTCTTCTGCCAGCCTGATCCTCCTAACTGCTCTTCCCTGCCAACCTGATCCCCCTAACTCTCATAGGTTAGGGCAACCTTTTAAGGACAAAGGAAGGAACCAGAAAGTAGCATCTCAGTGGTTGCCCCATAAAGTTGCTCAGTACTCCATCTCCTAATCTTCACTCTCTTTCAAAGTAAGCTTCTATTCCAGATTAGTTTGCTGACCTACCAGGCACAAGCATATATTTTATAAACCCAAATCTATACTTCAAAACACTCTTGGAAAAAAAATGCTTACAGAACGCTACTTCTCCACAAAACTGAAAATGGCTTTCTCTACCATAGAAATTGATCTTTGTGTCAGATTTTAATTAAAATCGAACTTTTACTAAAACTGAACCTAGATTGAAAGTTTGAAATTATATATAATAATAAAGTATGTACATAACCTTAATTATAGTATTTTTAAACTAAATATAATAATGCTAAAATTACCATCTATAGATTAAATTATATGTAGTGTTATATCCAACAAAGCACCACTGAATTTAGTGGAGCTATGCAATGAAAGGACTAAAAAAAAAAAATCTAACTGTAGAGTTATTTTCAAATTATACTCAGATATTACATTCTTCATTAAGTGAAAATCATAAGAATTGAAAAAGTAAAAGTTTCAAATGAAAGTTCCATTTAGAAAAATGCTATTATTTTCAAAGAAAAATGTCTCCTTTATTTTCAGAAACAAAGTTTAATTCCACTATACCCTTACATCCAAATCAAGTAGAACACCTACCCCGTTTCCCCGAAAATAAGACAGTGTCTTATATTAATTTTTTCTCCCAAAGTTCGCTAGGTCTTATTTTCAGGGGATGTCTTATCTTTCCATGCGCTATGTCTTATTTTCAGAGGATGTCTTATTTTCGGGGAAACACGGTAGTAATTCTGGTTGAGATTCAACGGCCTGCTTTCCATGTGTGAGTCTAACTGGCTAAACCTTTCACAAATCATAAGAAAAAGATTAAGCTGTTTAGGAGGAATGTTTTCATGCTCTGTTAAAAACAACTTGATATTTTAAAATATTAACTTTTCTTCAATTTTTACTTTGAGAGCTGAAAAATTAGTAGTTGTTTTACAAGATTATTATTTTCCCTTCATTTGTGCCCAGTGAGGTGTCTAGAACATGCTTACAAAGTATTGAATAATATGGCAATGAATGTGTCATGTAAGCCTCCCAACCAAAACGTCTTACTACACCTGCAGTACATGTTTCTTTTTTTTACTCAAAATTATATGGCAGAATGACTCACATTCTATATTTGAGTAACATAAATTGTTAACATCTTATTTGTTCACATCTTTCCAGATTTTGAAAATTAGTTTGTGTCACATCAGTTGTTGGGAGAATCAGGAAGGCTTCAGCTAAAAGTTAAAGAAGAATATCATAATATGTCCAGTCTCAATTGCACCCTAAACCTAGGACCAGGTGCAGAGTGAGCAGCTGAAATTCACAGGAAATTAATTAATGGGTTATTTAGAATCAGAATCCACTAATGGGAAATTTTTATGCTAAAATTTTCTTGCTAAATGGCATTGCAATCAGGCATGAGCTAATATTTATTTCTAGGTGGTGATATCAGCAATTAGAAGTTGTTACATGAAGAGTATGTAATAAATTAGAGAAGTAAGGACAACTAACTGAACATTAATTAAACTTAGGTAAATTAGAACAAATAAATAAAGCCACTTTAAAGGCAAAAAAGAGTCTATCACCACATGCACCTATCTTTTCAGAAATTAAACCTAAATCTTCTAACAAATGCCTTAAACCAATGTGTATAATTATGTTTGAAAAAATATCTCAAAATTTTAGGATGAATGAATAAGCACACATATAATCCGTCAGCAAAAAGAAGCATTTCTTCACTATTCAAAAATGTGTATGTGCTTTAAAATATGTCTTCAGATTTCTTCTCTGGGGAAAAATTATGCGAGAAATCTGAGACAGGGACACTGGTAAGGTGCTAGAACCTGGAAGTTCTTGGAGAGAGAGGGAGAGAGAGAGAGAGAGAGAGAGAGAGAGAGAGAGAGAGAGAGAGAGAGAGAGAGAGAGAGAGGAAGAGAGAGAGAAAGGGATGATGGCAATTAAAACTTTGCGTGGCTTGCAGTCCACCTGCCTCTCCAGGGACAAACACTTAGCTCTCTGTCCCCAGAAAGCACAGGTAAAAACACAGGCCACACAAAAAGAACTACACAGCACCATTGAAGATATATTTGATTCTATTCCATGGAATTTGAAACATGGGGTTAATAATGATTGATTGGTAATATTTCTGACATTTCTATCTAAAATCTCTATTCACTCTTAGTAAAAGCTAAAGAAGCAGGTGCCCACACAGGTGAGACTAGAATGACTTTATCTGTTGCATTGCATTGACTACTAAAATGATTCTTCACAGAAAGGCGCATGCCATTTACAGAATCCTTATACCATATGGGCAAGGCTTAAGGTAGAGCCAGTAGAGAAAGACAGGATTCCTGGAGCAATCATCTCCTTACTGTTTAAGCTAGACTTTTGGATCACTCAGTGTAGTTCTATGACCCAAAAAACCAAGTCCAAATCTCATAATTCATTATTGTTTCCTGTGTTAGTTCCTTCTTTTAGTAGAAAAAAGTCACATTTTCACTGCATGATGGAATTCTACATAAGTAAAAAGTAGAGTTATAAACTGTTTTAACTTCTCTGGGTTGGCTAATTCTCTACTCAAAATAACATGATTGGTGGCAAAATTTGTATTTCCAAAATTTAATTTTGAAATAAAGTTTAGTAGGCAGATGAATTTTTATAGATGACTTACACTATGAGTTTCATACCTACTAATGGAGAAAATATTAATAAGTATAAAACCAAAACATTTCAGAATATTCAGTCCTCAAATCTCAGGTCAGCAATTGTTTTTCCACCAACAAAAATTTTAAATTCTAACTTCCCTCCCCTCCCTAGAATTGAACTTTGGTGATTTTTTGCTACTAATCCATCCTTACTAAGGATGCAAACTTTCCCATTGTTTTTCAAAGTTATTTTCAAAAAGAGAATGTAAAATGGGTGGTGGAAATGTTTCTTCAACCATACCAGACTAAAAGATAAGAAGTACCCTTTGAAGGGAAATAAAAAGCTAAGAACACAGTAATGTTTAGGATCAGCTTGAATTAATTCACACAGTTTGAAATCATTGACTCACTTTGAACTCCATGGGAGCGTACTATTTTCCAGGTTTCTGATGTCACTTCTTTGACATCCACTTGATAGTGATGGATAGGCACACCTCCATGGGAATCCGGCTTGTTGAAAGAAATTTTGGCTGTGGTCTGTGACAGCTCTATAATCTTCACCCCATAGGGACTGGATGGTACATCTATGAAGGAATAACCACAAAGAATATGTAACCTAATGTAAATGGCATGGTACAGATGGTCTGTTGTGGAATTGTGTACCTGAAACCTGTAAAAATTTTGTTAACTGGCATCACCCCGATAAATTCAACAAAGCTGCTAAAGAAAAAAATGTGTATATATTTTAAAGTGAATTAATAATTAATAAAATGGGATTGAAAGACACGTGATTCAACTTTCTAAAAAAAAAAAAAAGACCTATGGTATTCTGAGAATTAGAAATAAAGGAATATTGCAGCCTATAAACTTAATAATTTGAATTACAAAGCTTGCATAAACTGCCGCATGATCTAAATTATAAGAACGTATACATTAATCAATCTTTACTTAGTGAGCAAGCAAACTATAAAACATTCAATATCACATTTCATTTATTGAGGAAATAATTACTTTTCTTTATAATATAAGCATTTTTTGGCATTCGAAGAAAACAAGCTTGTAGAAGAGAGGATGGAGAGGGAATGCAGGCATAATTAAACCTAACAAGAAATAATTTTTGAAAAATTAGTATAAATATTCTCTTGTGAAAATACAATCTTTGTGTGTTTTTTCATTAAAATTATATTAATAATTTTGGTGCAATAGTTATGTTTAGAGAAAATACCATTATGAACTAAATAAAATTATAAACTCTCTGATTTAATTTCATTTAGGTATTTAACTAAAATAAACTTTCAGTTGATATATGTTAGTTTTAATTCTTGTATTTAAAAAATAATTATAGCCCAGCCAGTGTGGGGAGTGCAGGAAGCAGCCAATCAATGGTTTTCTCTAATCATTGATGTTTCTATCTCTCTCTCCCTCTCCTTTCCTCTCTTAAATCAATAAAATATAATAATTAACTATAAATCATTTTTGTGCGTGCTATCAGTCTATTACATTATTTTTAAACTCAATAAGGTATCCTGAGTGGAACCTTATTTTCTTTTCTAGTATGCAAAACTTTATAAAATGTGATGTGTAAGGTCAAACAAGCAAAAGGAGAAAATAACAAAATGTCTTGATAAGGAAGTTTATGACACCTCTACTCCAGAAACCTGAAGAATTAGAGGCACATTAAACATTAAACATATCTCTTTCTGCCTCTCAATCTTTCTTTTTCTTTTCAGTTTACATATAACTCAGAAATCAAGGAAAGGTTGAGATTCAGAGTCCACAAAGGAAGAAATAAGATAGACCACCAGAGCAAAGAAGGGTGGTAAGGGATCAAGATTAAGATCACTCACACTCTCATATTCACAGTAACTATATATGGATGCAGGAAATGGATGGTGAAGATAGGGGAAAAGATTGATTCATTTGAAATATGATGCTGGAGGATAAATCTATAGTAACCTGGACTGCAAAATGATAAGCAAATGGGTCCTAAAGCAAATTAAGCCTGAAATATTGTTGGAAGCAAAAGATGACAAAGTTGAAGTTGTCCTTTTTGGGCACATTATGAGAAGGCAAGGTTCTTTCCAAAAGACAATAATGCTGGGAAAGATAGGAAGCAGCAGAAAAAGAGATCGACACAATATGAGATGGAGTGACTCCATGGAACAAGCCATAGACATGAGTTATAAGAGCTGAGTAGAGCAGAGGAGAATAGGACATTGTGGACATCACTCATTGGTAGGGTCAGCAGGAAATAGAGCTGATTCAATGGCACATATGTTATCTACACTAAAAATAGATAAATATGCAAACTGACCATCACTTCATGATACCTGCCAGCCAATCAGGAGGGAGTATGCAAATTAACCTAATTGTCTCAGTGGAGACTGACAGCAGAGAGGAGGTATTCCCAGCCCAGCCTGCCATTGCCCCAGCAACCTGGGAGCAGGAAAGTAGGGCCATAAGCTGCTCCCAGCATGGCCTGCATGGCCATCGCTGAGGTACGGAGCAGGCAGGCCCCACAGAGAGCAGAAAACTATGGGGAGTGGGCCTAAGCCATCAGTAGGATATCCCCTGAGTGCTCCTGGATTAGAGAAGATGCAGGTTAGGCTGAAAGATACCACCCCCATGCGTGAATTTTGTGCACCAGGCCACTAGTGTAAATATATAAATAAATATGCTATTTTATATCTAAAATTAACTTTACAGAACTAAAAAAAAAAAAAGATTGAAAGTAATGCAGTACATTTCCATTCAGGTACAATCAAACACTCATATAAAAATGTAATGACTATAAAAAATTAAATGTGCTGCATTTGCTGGAGTTAAAGGGAGCAGTGCACATTATATAAAATATGCCTTATAAATGGTACTGGGTAATATCATGAAAAAAAAAAGGTTCATGACATTTTGGGTATGAATGTTGTAAAGAAATGCAATAGTGTACATTCAGCTCTACTTACAGTAAATTCTATGAAGTGCATTATGTTATAACACTAAGGTTCGGATATAAATGTGTAGAATAGTGATGCATCCTAAAGTCATCTTGCTACTAAAATCTTATTTGGAAATAAAAATGTTATTTATGGAAATACTCTGTGTATGCTGTAATACATAAATACCATCATGATTATTATATTTCTTCATTCCTTAAGTTTTTACTGTAGATTATTTTCATCAGTAAGTTTGATCTAAAGTTTGCAGTGGAGGTAAAAACATCACACACATATACATAAATAGACTGTGTGTGTGTGTGTGTGTGTGTGTGTGTGTGCTGAGTGACTCTCTAATGTCATTTAGGTCTAAGTCAGGAGTGGGGAACGTCTGGTCCATGTTCCATATAAGGCCTACAGAATCATTTAGTCTGGCCTTGCCAAAGCATTAGGGGTGAGTTAATTAAATGTTTGACCAAATATAGCAGGCTAATTTTTGGTTGATAATTTTGTATAGCCCACAAATTATGCTATAATTTTCCAAATGGCCTTTGACCTAAAAATAAAAGGTTCCCCATCCCTGCTCTAAGAGGATATCACAGTCATGATGATCTTCAGTGTGATGATAAATTTCAAAAGGAAAGGTGCTAAGTAATGGTAGAGAAAAAGAGGGTATGATTCCTTTCGAGCTCCCACCTTTTAAAAAATATATTTTTATTGATTTCAGAGATGAAGGAACAGGGAGAGGTAAAAGCATCAATGATGAGAGAGAATCATTGGTCAGGTGCTTCCTGCATACCCTTCTCACTCTCAGAGATAGACCTTGCAACCCAGGAAAGTGCCTCAACTGGGAATCAAAATAGAACCTTCTGGTTCATAGGTAGATGCTCAACCACTGCCTATCCAGGCTGGGGTAAGCTCCCACCATTGACTATAGGGCATGTACATGGTCCTTGGTTCTTATACTGTAAACAGATGTAGTTACTATTTGCTAAACTGTGTACCTCAACATGGCACACCTCCACAGAAATAAGAGCCTCTTTATTCTTAGCACAATGGTGCTATCACCAAACTTGGACCAGTGGGCATCTATCCCTAGCCAGATAGTCTATTTTCACAGCTCCTGACTGTTACCTGATTTTCATTTAGATTTAGTGTGTGTTGGCCACTTCTTTCTATTGCCTGACTAAAATAAGAAGTATGCTCATGATTCGAAGCTCCAGTATTATTCCTAAACATTTTTTTTTTACATTCTAATTTGATGACTTCTGAATTATTACATATTTATACATGCAGACATACATATGTACACATAACACTGAGAAAAGTGACTAGGATATACCAAGTCCTCAGGAAATATATGATGAATTAAATATATATATATATATTTCAGAATTAAAAACAAAGATACAGAACAAATACAAGTGAATAGTGACTGATAAGCATAGAACTAACATCTCCACGTCTTCTCCCCACTTTCTCAGTTGCTTTATAATCACATTCTCCTTCATTCAATCTGTCATGTGCATTACTACTAATTAGTCTCACAGTTACTTTCATCTTTTCTGTATCACAATTATATCCATCTCTTCCTTCCTGTTTCCGCTATTAATTCCCAAGCCCAGGGCCTATCTGCCTCTGCTGGTAATGCCATCGGTGGCTGTCAGCTTCCTTTTCTATTGGACATAGCACCACATTTAAACCCAGATGGCGTGTCAATGCAAAATCAACCTTTCTAGAGCACCCCTGTAATCATGCCCCTTCCTGAGCTGGGGATTCAGGAGCTCCCTGTTCTTTACAACCGTAAACTACTTTCCACTCTGCTTTCAAGATCCCGAAAATAAGCCAACAGATCATATTGTAAAAGACTAACAATCATAGTCCAATGTTACAAATGGGGCTTGTGGTCATTAAATTTCAAACACAATGCTCACATCATTTTTAGCATATTTTTTAAAAATTAATTCTTAACACTTCCCCAAATCAATAATTAACGAATGCCATCACCCATCACTGAATAAATAAATAGAAAATTTGTGAAAATGTGCATTTCTTTATTTACATTTTTTTCATCTCTACTACTATAGGTTTAAGAGCCTGGGTATGTATCATCAGAATTTACGCATCTAAGTCTAGATGAAACCTTGGACGAATCCCTTAATCTTTCAACCACTGGAGGAACTTATAGTGGAAGTCTGCCCTCCTCTTTCCCATGTTAAAGTCACTATCTCTAAAGGGATTTTTTTTTAATTTCAGAGAAAGGAAGAGAGAGATAGAAATATCCATGATGAGAGAGAATCATCAATCATCTGCCTCCTGCACACCCTCTACTTGGGATGGTGCCTGCAATCGAGGCATGTGCCCTCCTGGTTCATGGGTCCATACTGAACTACTGAAGCATACCAGCCATACTATAGGGCGTTTCTTTTCCTTGTCGCTCATAACATGGCATCATCAGGTAGTTCCTTTTTTATTTTTCCCATGTTCTTCTCTTTTGGATTTTTATTATTTCTTCTCTGTTTCATTATCATGAACTATAATGATTTTTGTGAAATGGCAAATTTTCTTCAGTTTTACTATGTTCTCAGGCAAAAAAAACCAACAACACAAAAACCTCTTCTTTTGCTTCACTGTCACACTACTTGAATATGTTG